CCTAGCGTCCTTCCTATAATTTTTGACCCTTTTTTTTTTTTTTTTTTGTTGCTCTCCTAATCTTGGCTCTCTTTTCTCATCCTTTCTTTCTTTCCTCCTTTCTTCGCTCCTAGTTATTTATTATTGTTTGCTTTGTAGTTTTTTGGTGGCTTGTGGTTCTTTTTATAAAAAGCTTTATAAGCTAGTACTTGGGAGGGCTCAGTATTACCATGTTAGATTTGTTCTGATGTCCAGTCAGTTCTAAAATTCCTTGGTATATAAGAATCCGATTCCCTTGAGTTCTCCTTCCCCCACCATTTGAATTGCTCCTACTGGTGTGTGACTCCCTCATTGTATTATCTAAACATCACCCCCATTGTCCGTGACAACAACTCGGGGGTAAGTCATCCTGTCTTACTTAGGAACATGAAATATGCCTTTGGCTTCTCCTTTCCTATTAACAAATCATATTTTTTGACAGGAAGTCAATAATAGAAACATAGGATAAATTTTATGCCTCCTTCTTACTCCACGTTATTGGGGCAATCCAAAACTTACCATATCTGTTTGCCCTTTTTGTTACTTCCCAATGTTTTATTGCTCTTCCATCCACATTGCATTGTGCTGGTGCTCAGAATACATTAATTTCTAGTCTTCTCTGCTATTATATTGTAGATTAGACCTTTGATCTCTGTCATATTATACTGATAAGACCACTTCATACATTCCTTCAATGGCCATACTCCCAGCTACTGCTGAAAAGATCACTTGGCTCTCACTTCTCTACCTTTCCCAGACTTTTACTTACTGACCTGGCTGTAACACGTGGGTGAGAACACGTGGGTGTTCTTTTCTTCATTTGCTAGATAAGGTCCATATTACGTAAACTAGAACACAGTACTGAGGCTCAGTGTACTGTGGTTTTAAAGGTGTTCTGAACATAGGTTTTATTAGTTTTAAATTGCCCAGCCCAAACATGTGTAAGTGTTGGTTAGCAAATAATATAAAAATTGATAAATGCTATAGTATAAAATCTACTATGAAAGAGTTTATTTCTGTTATCTGTTGTAAAGAAATCTCCTATAACTTATTCTGTATTTGTTTTGCTTCATTTCATCTTAACTTAAAAATTATATCCTCTGGGAATCTTTGCCCTAGTCTCTCAAGCTTTAGTTAGATTTCTTTAGTGTATTCCTATAATATTGGGAACTATACATTTATCATAAAGGTTGGGACTAGAGTAAGGTGAAGCAAGTGAGGTAATAGGACAAATGTCTATGTCTGTTTGACTACTCATTGTTCATGACTAATTTGGGGAGTTGAGTAATTGTAACTGAGGCTATAACGACTCACAAAGCCTAAAATATTTTCTACTGGTCCCTTTACAGGAAAACTACTGGCCCCCTTGTGTTCTAATTGTTTATGTAAAATTAAACCCAACCTCATTGTTATGTGCTATAAAACATGTTTATAGTATATGAGATAGGTTATAGCTTATAAAATTAGATTATACTGAATATTTGTCTTTACTGATTATATTTATTTCAACCAGATCGATTAGTATAGCTTTAGTTTTTTATTATATTTGAGTGATACTTGATATTTGCTTTCTTATGTTCATGATTTCAAGTAACCAACCTGTCTTGATTTAGGTACCTTTAGTGACTTATTTTCACAATATCTCATATAAAAAACAAAAAACAAAATAACCTCCACCAAGTTCCATTTATTAAGTAGTTAAATCTAAACAGTATAGATTTATGTCCTGATGATGTAGCTATTGAAAAACAATACACTGAAACCTCAAATAAATAATATAAATAAATATTTTAAAATCATTTTTAAGTTACCACAGTTATTGACTAACAGATGTATATCTATTTTATGGGACTCCCATTCTCAAACATGGAAATCAGTTTGGAAACCTTTTCCTTAATTTCTGTTATAACTTGATTTTGGGGTAGCTCTTGGTAAGATAGGAAACAGTGAGTGTTAAAATTGGAAACTATCTTGAGCTAGTAGATCTTGATGTATCTGGCACGAAGATATTACCATGTTTTAATAAATATAAATATTCTTTGAGTTTACCATGGCATCTCAGGGTGCAGTAATGTTTTGTTGTGTTTTCTTTGTTTTTTGGTTTTTTTTGAGACAGGGTCTCACTATGTAGTTGAGACTGACCTGGAACTCGCTATGTAGCCCAGGCTGGTCTCGAGCTCACAGCGATCTGAGTGCTGGGATTACAGGTGTGTGCCACCATGCCTAGCTAGTAGTGTATTTTTAAAGAGGAGCTAGAAGTGCAAAAAAAACCCTTAATGAGATCTGCTTTTAATCTATGTGATTAGTATATTTAATCATGTGTTACTTTGTAGATTCTAATTATATCAGTGAGGAAAGGAAAAAGAAAAAATAGAGAGGGGAATACAGAGTGGGTGAAGAGAGGAGAGATATTAGGATTGGCTCACATGATTGTTAGGGCTGCTGAATTTTGTAGGGCATGCTAGAAACACAGAATTTTTGTGTTGCACTCTTAAGGCAAATTTTCTTTTATACAAATACTCTGTTTTTGTTTTTAAGGCCTTCAACTGATTGGCTGAAGCAAACTCCCCTCCCTCATCCACAGAATGCTCTTGCAGCAACTAGTCTAGTCTTTGATTGAACAAAGGAGCACCCTAGTCTAGCTGAGTCAACATAACATACTTTTCACATTAATTTCATTTAGGTTGATTTTTTTTGCTTTGGTGTTAAAGTAGCATGTAAATGTCCTGGTAAATTCTCCATTCATTTTTCTTCGAAATTCATCAGGTTGAGATTGTAGTCTGCCTTTTCCTCTGAGGGTAGCAGCAAGTCAGTCCAGCAAATTATAGAATATTAAACAGGAATCACACAACAGAACAAACTATAAGCTTAAGTGGACGATTTTGAAAAATACATGCACTTTTTCAGTGCATCAGGATGACTGTATTGATTGGTAATTTATTAAATGAAGTTACTGAAATCACTCAAAGGCTATGTATAGCTTTTAAACAAGTGTACTTGGCTCAGAATTAATTTCAGGCAGCTTCTGGTTTTGTACACTTTATTTATTTCCAGCTTAAGGATTGCCTCAAATTAAGATATTCCAATTCTGTGATTTACTGTATAATAGAATTTTAACCATGACTTAGGAGACTTAAACTTTTAATAGTACTTATCTAGGAGGAAATTAAATTTTAAATATTTTAAGATGCCTCTTTTCTCAGATGGACCGGCTTTTGGGAAACATGATTGAAATGTGGGTTGATAGACTGGACAACATTACCCAGCCTGAAAGAAGAAAGCTTTCAGCTTTGGCTTTGCTTTCACTTCTGCCATCTGATAATAGGTAAGAAAGTTATTTTCTTAAAATTTATTTCTTTAAAGCATAAAATGTAAGAACTATTTTTGGACATTGATATTACTGGACAATGTAACATATGTATATGGATTCTAATTTTGTTGGATGTGGCAAATGTTGATCTTAATCTAGAAAAGAATAAATAAAACATTTTACTCGAGTGGCAGGGGATCCAGTTTAATTTGGTTTTACTCATTTTTCAATTTATTTTGTCTGAATTTCCATTTTTTTATAATAACCAAATTTAAATGAGTCTTACTGTAGGGCCACTTTTAAACAGATGTGTTAACATACAATATTTCAATATCACTCATACTTTATAAAGCATGTCAATAAAGTATGGTAATTCTAAAGTATTAATTGTTACCTTTTAATTTAGATTATCTCTAAAAAAAATCCTACAAGTTGTTTTTTTTTTTCCTCCTTATATAGATGAAGTTATGCTATACTTTACAAACTTGGTTAAAATGCTCAATTCTGTAAAGCAAATTAAAAAGACTGATTTGGATATTTAAAGAGCATTTATTTTTGTTTTTATCCCTCAGAATTATACAGTTAAGTTTTTGTACTTTTTTGGGGTGTTTTATAACTTCATTTGATAATTCACAATTCTCATTTTTTTATTGGATTTTAAAGGTGGTAAGAATTTGTTTCATATTCGACTCTCTTGGTAAATCTTCATCCTGGAAAAGTACATGTGAATGTAGTATTGGACATTCTTTTTCTTTTGGCCACTGAGCTTTGTTGAGTCTGGTATCGGTGAATAATTTGGATTCCCTATCTCCTTCGTGGCAGATATTCAGACTTCCTTTTTCCTTCATTTATTTTATTTTATTTATTTATTATTATTTTGTTTGTTTTTCAGCTTTAATTGAGTTTATTGGTACATTTTAGGGATACAGTACAGTTACATTCATCATTGGGATCTTGTACCTCTACATGACAGGTCTTGGTTCTCATTTTTTCCCCT